ATCGCTGTGATTTTTATGTCGTCTAGAAATACAGTTACACCCGGCAGGTCGCTGAGGGTTAATTCCATAAATCGTTGCCACTTACTTGGTGCGCACGGTACTCCGAACATCAAACGGGTTGGTTTGTACAGCCCTTTGTGTGTACTAAGGGTAAGTAAGTGTTGATCGTCGGGATGCACTTCGGGTTGTAGGTATGCATTAGACATATCAATTTTAGAAAACTTTTCGCCGTCCGCCATGGCACTAAAAAGTTCGTCAATAGTGGGAAGCAGATGTTCGTCGACCACTAAGGCAGGTTTCAGTGTGACTTTGTAGTCACCACAAATTCTTACGGCCCCTCCGCGCTTTGGGACCGCAACAATTGGCGTAGCCCACTCCGATGTATCCACCTTCACAAGTATGCCTTCCTGCACCTGCCCTGCGATTTCGTCTTCCACTGCCTTCAGTAAAGGGAAAGGTACACGGCTTGCTTTCACGAACTTCGGTGGTACGTTGTTTTTGAGGTAAAGTTTAGCTTGATGACCAACGATTTTGCCAGTTCCTTCTGAAAACAATTGTGGAAATTTCTGCAAAATTTCGTTCAGCTTGCTGCTGACGTCAACGTTTGCGTAAATTGCATTCACACTCGAGGTTTTTTGTAGTATAGAGTACCAACCGAGTTTTATAGTACGTAGCCACTCACGGCCCCACAAAGGCTTGCGATCGGATCGCACTGTAAATTTTTGCATTTTCTGCTTTGCTATCATTCACGCTGACCCAAATGTAACCAAGGCAATCTAGCTTTGTTTTGCAGTAACTGTATAACTCGGTGTCCGTAGTTTTTACACGTTCTTTTGGGAAGTATTTCTTGGCGTCATCTACGTTTATGAGTTTTACAGGTGATCCCGTGTCGATTTCCAACTCAATATTTTTGTTGTTCGCATTAAGTTTGCAAAACACTTTATCACGTGAACCTTTTGCTTTGGGAAGGTCCAATTGAAACAAATCTTCCACCGTGCATTCCTGTTTTGCTTTGACGTCCGCACTTATCATATTTAATGATTTCTTTTTACGTTGTAAACACATCTTCTGTAAATGGCCCTTCTTTTTGCAAAAGTGACAAGTCACTTCTTTGTATTGACATTTATCGGCCATATGGTCAGCGTTACCACATCGATAACAATTTTTCTTTGAAATAGTAGAGGTTTCTTTTTTTGTATCGCTTTGAGGTTTTTTGTGTTTGCTCTTTCTGTACTGGATTTTATTAACTGTTTCCCCACCTCCGTTGTTTTTATGTAATTCGCCTCCTTCTTTCTCTGCAGTTTCGTGTGCCTTTGCTAAATTTATTGCATCAGCCAATGTTAAGGATTCTTTTCGAGCAAGCGACTTTGGATTTTCTGGCTGCGTAAGCCAAAAACGAATTGATTACGGAAAGCGGTGTCTAAAAACGCACCAAATCCACATCCCGCAGACAATCTTCGTAATGCCACCAAGTAATCAGTACATGATTCGTCTTCCTTTTGTTTTCGAAGGTGAAAACGGTAGCTTTCCAATATTTCATTGCCTTTAGGATTGAAATAATATTCCAACACAGCAACAATTTCCGTGTACGGCATATCTTCCGGGGCTTTAGGTAGTACTTTTTCACAAAGTATATCGTACGTAGAAGCTCCCATAAAATGAAGAAGTAAAGGTCTTCGTTTCGTTAAATCAGCATTGTAAATTTCCAACGCGGTTTCAAACCGTTTAACCCATCGGCTCCATGTTGTGGTTTTCCGATCAAATGCGTCGAATGTAAATGCGGACATTGTATTGCCAGCAGTATTTCTATTATTCTGTGAGTCAGGCATTTTGCGAAACGCAATTTTAAAAAGAGCTGTCGTATAATTCAGAAACCGATCCTCGTAGCCAGAACTGTTAGGAAAAAGGTTCTTTCAAGCGAAGTGAATATGCACGCGTTTATTTGCTGACTGACTTCTAGTCGTTGTTTCTTTTTATTTTGTGCTTATTACTAGTACGCTACAATACGTCATATGCTACAACTACATACTTAAATATTGATTAAGTATACAGTATCCCTACAAGACAGCTGAGTATCATATGAGTACTCATATTATCATT